GAATTTGGCAGCAGATTTGCACAATGTAGTGATGTCATTGATTTCTTGATTCCCTCTTCAGTGGTATTGATGTGGATCCATGTGGAAGGAAACCTTGACAGTGTCAGCCTTTTCATGATGTTGCGTATTGGTTTATCGTGATGTCGTATGTTGGTTCACTTGGGAAGATTTTTGTTTTCTTTATGTTGGCGTCTAAGCCACACTGAAAGCTACTTCATCAGTAAGCACTTCAAAACGTCTTCCATTTCAGCAGGCAAGGCTGTATCATCTGCACATCACAGGTCGTTAATGACTCCTTATCCCCAATTCTTCAGATAATCTGACTTCTCAGATTATTTGAGTAAGTGTGATGGAAGGCTACAACTGAAGGAAACTTTTCTCGATTTTAAACTACACAGCATCCCTTGGTCTGGTTGCCTCTTGATCTGCGTATAAGTTCTTCATGAGCAGAGCTAAAATTCCTGGACTTCCTATTTCTAGCAGTGTTATCTGTAATTTGTTATGATCCACACAGTTGAGTACTTTGTATAGTTAGTAAAACCACAGACAAACGTCTTTGTAGAATTAACACTGTTTAGTAATGATAGGTAAAATAAAATGGCCTAGGCGAGCTCTGGTGGCCTAGTGGCAAGAAGCTGCACTGCAATCACAGAGGTGCATGGTTCAAATCCTCCAGATGCTCTGCTGGAGAAGGAGGGACAATCTCCTCTTGTACCAGTCAGATTTTTCAATTTTTTGGTACACACACACAAAAAATAAGTAAATAAAAAAATTAAAATAAGATGACTCCATTGTCACTAGAATGTCTACTTCTCAGAGAAAGGCCTCCCCCTGCTTCCAGCCTGCTCAGCCATTTGTGGGAAGCTGAACTGGCATTCCTAAAATACCACCGACAGTGAGCTGACCTGAGATTCCACCTGTAAGATAAGAAAAAGACACCAACAGAATACCCCCCCAAACAAGACTCCTTCATGTGATCGGCTGAACCCACCCACAATCCCTATATATATCCCCCCCTCCCCGCAACAATAAGCTGTGGCTAACTCTGAGAAGAGTGGCAATCCCAGAACCCTTGGTTGTACTTATGCAAAACTCAGGAGGCAGTCATCAGAACAGAGTAAGGAAACACTGCATGGTTTAGAATTGAGAAGGGTGTACACCAGGGATATGTCCTATCTCCATACCTTTTCAATCTATATGCAGAACAGATCATCCAGGAGGTGGGGCTGTATGAGGAGGAATGTGACATCAGGATTGGAGGAAGACTCATCAAAAACCTGCACTTCAGCATTGCTTACTGAAACTGAGGAGGACTTGAATCTTTGAAAACAAAATTCTCACAACTGGTCCAATGGCAGCGTCATGATAGATGGTGAAGATATTGGGACTGTTAACAGTTTTAGTTTAATTGGGTCCACAATCAACACTCTTGGTACTGGCATCTAGGAAATCAAAAGACAAATTGCATTGGAAAAGTCTGCTGTCAGAGACATCTTCAGAGTACTGAAGAGCAAGGTTGTCAGTCTGGAGACTAAGGTGCCTCTGATCCACGCCGTGGTCTTTGCAGTTGTGTGCTATGCATCAGAAAGCTGGACAGTGACTAGAGATGATAGGAGAATTGATGCCTTTGAACTGTGGTACTGGAGAAAAGTATTGAATATACCATGGATTGTAAAGAGAACAAACAGGTTCCCCTTGGAAAGGGTGAAACCAGGCTGCTCCTTGGAGGCAAGAATTGTGAAGCTCCATCTGACATACTTTGGACATGTTACAAGGAGAGACGAGTCCTTGAAGAGGGACATTTTGCTTGGTAGAGTGGATGGACAGTGTGGGAGAGGAAGACCCTTGATGAGATGGATTGACTCAATGAGACTGGGTTAATGAGGGTAGTTGTGTCAGAGACGGTGAGGTTGGCTCAGGACAGAGCAGGGTTCAGAGCTGGTGTACAAAGGGCCAGGCAGACTAAAACTGTTAACAATCTCGATCTCTTCACCATCCATAATAATGCTACCAGTGGGCTCAGTGGTGAGAATCTTTGTTTTCTTGAAGTTGGGCTTCAGTCCATATTGAAGGCTGCAGTCTACCTTCCACAGCAAGCACTTCAGGTCCTCCTCAGTTTCAGTAGGTGAGGTTGTGTCATCTGCATAACATAGGTGGTTTATTAATCTTCCTCCAGTCCTGATGCCACATTCCTCCTCATACAGCCCAGTGTCCCAGATGGTCTATTCTGCATATAGATAGAAAAGGTATGAAGATAGGATACATCGCTGGCATATACCCTTCCCGATTTTGAACCATGCAGTGTCTCCTTCCTCTGTTCTGATGACTGCCTCTTGGTTTAGGTATAGGTTTGGATAAGCAAAATCAAATGTTCTGGGATCTCCATTCTTCTCAGGGTCAGCCACAGTTTGTTGTGATCCACACAATCAAATGCCTTTGATAGTCAGTGAAACACAGATATTCTTCTTGTACTCTGCTTTCAGCCAAGATCCATCTAACATTAGCTATAATATCCCTAGTACCATGGCCTCTTCTAAACCCAGCCTACACATCTGGAAGTTTTCTGTTGACATGTTGCTCCAGTCAGTTTCGGATAATTCTCAGCAGAATCTTGCTTGCATGTGATATTTATGCTATTGTTCGATAACTTCTGCACTCTGTTGGGTCCCCTTTCTTTGGAATGGGAATGAATATCGATCTTGTCCAGTCAGTTGGCCAGGTTTCTCTGTCCTCCGGATTTTTTGGCACAACTTAGTGAGCACGTCCAGGGCAGCGTCTTCTTGTTGAAATATGTCAACTGGTATGCCGTCAACTCCTGAAGCCTTGTTTTTTGACAGTTCTTTCAGAGCAGCTTGAACTTCCTCCTTCATCACCACAGGCTTTTGTTTATACATTGTTTCATGAAATGAAACCACAAAAGTAAACAATGGCATTTCACTACTTCATGGGTGGAATGAGGGACGGTTAAAGGAAATAGGAAAGATCCGGCAGGGATCTGTAAATACAGGGTAATAGTGGGCATAGTTCAATGATGATTAATTTTATAAAACATAAAGAATGCGAGTGATTGTATGAAACACAATGTGAATGAAAGATAATGAGAAATACAATGTATACAAATTTGTACGCAAAGCAATATAAAAAGAAAAATTTTTAAAAAATTCACAAAACCATGGCTTGAATCAGGCACACCTTAATCTGTAAACTGACATCTTTGCTCTTTAGCACTTTTGAATTGCATTGTCGGTTAAAGTATTGAATGGACTGCCAAAAGAACAAATAACTCTTTGTTGACAGAAGTCCCACCAGAGTGCTCTCTGGAGGCCAGGATGGTGAAACTTCGTCTCAGATACTTTGGGCAGGTTACCAGGAGGATCTTGCCCTTGGAAAAAGACATCATCCTGGGGATAAGCACAGGATCAACAAAAGAGAGGACCATCAACAAGAGGAAGTGGCAGTGATTACAGCAGTGGACTTGAGTGTGATGGAGATTGTCACAGTGGACAGAGCATGGCTCAGATCTCTGGTTCATCAGTCACTATGAGGTGTAGTTGCTGTGGTGGCATCTTATACAACAGCTTGCTGACAGGGGCTTTGGTGACCAGTTATAAAGAGCTGCGCAGTTAACCCAGAGGACACGTCTCTCTGGCATTTTGACTCTGTCTCCAGTGTCTCCATGGCAGAAAGATGGGCAGTCTCCTGTGTGTGTGTGATTTCTAACATTGGAAACTCATTGGTGGTTCAGGTGTAAACTGATTCTGATTCCAGGGCAATGAGAATGAATTTGAGTCTCTTGGCCTGTGAGAGGGAGAGAACTGTTGAAAAGGGATATATGATTGGGTATTATTGTCATGACAGGAGTCCAGAATGAAGGCTGCACAGTGCAGTGGACTTGGGGGGAAGGATTAACAATGAAAGAGTTTTTTTCTTTTACTTTTCAAGGAGAAGAGTGAATTGGGGGCAGGGCAGGGATAAAAGTGCAACAGTGAATGAATGGAAACCCTAAGTCTCTGTAAACTTTCATTAAAATGAGTTTAAAAAGAAGAAAAGAAATTTCTATGTGTTAAAACCATCCAGTCCTGCTGTTGCAACACTTGATAATGAAGGCAAGGCAGTTGTGCATATTTTAAAATATTCTCATAAATGAGGTTTATCACTAATTTAAAAAGCTAAGTATTGCCTGTCCACCATACTAGATTTTGTTAGTATTTGTACTAAAAATTACATTAAAAATGTAGCACTCACTACATTCTACTTTCTAGGCCAGTGTGTAAAACAATAAGGAATGTACTTTTTATGCAGTTAAAGGAATGACACGCATACGTAATCACATTTTAATTTCATTTTCTGACTAGAAGTTTCTAGATACAGATGATGATGTTGGGTGCTGTCGAGTTGATTCTGACTCAGAGCAACTCTTCATGGCAGAGTCGAGCTGTCCACTGGGTTTATAGGAGAGTGATCTTGACAAGAGCAGATTGCCCTTTAAAAAAAAAGATACTGGTTTGTTTACAAAGTTCGTATACATTGTTTTTCACACAGAATCTTTCCTATTTGCTTCACCCATCCCTCCCTCCCCCCTTCAGATTGTGCGACCCTGTGATTAACCACTCCGTCCCCCACCCATCCTCACCTCCCTGCTCCCCCCTCCCGCTCCTTGGATCCTCATGCTTGTTCTACAGTCATGAGCCATTTGTCTTAATGGAACTGAGTTAGTTCACTCAGCATAATGCTCTCCAGTCCCTCCCAAGTTAGGCGGTCATTTACAGAATCATTGCTCCTGAGTGCTGCGTAGTATTGCATCGTGTGAATGTACCCCAGTTTCTCAGTCCGTTCGACCGTGGTTGGCCAGTTGGGCTGTTGCCATGTTCTCGCGATGCGGCAGCAGGAGGAGCTGCTGCCCTTCGTCCTAGGTCCTGGCTTCCTGCAGTCAGAGCGACGGAATGACTGAACTCCGTGTGCCCATCACTCCTCCTTCAGTGACCTTCCCTCTTTTCCAGATCACTTACTTCAGCCTCTGGTACTACAACAAGCAGAACCAGCGCCGGTGGGTGGACTTGGAGAAACCTTTAAAGAAGCAGCTGGATAAGTACGCGCTCGAGCCCACTGTCTACTTCGGAGTGGTGTTTTACGTGCCTTCCGTGTCGCAGCTGCAGCAGGAGATTACCAGGTGAGCCGTCACGTGCCTTTCACCTTTGGGAAGTAAATCTCGCGTGAGATTCACACGGGGCGAGTACAGTTGAAGTCAGAAAAGACAGACTTGGCCTGCTCCCCCTGCATTTTCCCTGCCACGTTGAGCGGAGGTTCTGTACGAGGTGCATTAGTTTGTTACCGCAGGCCACTGAAGAGGTAGCAGGCACCAAGGGCTGTGTTGAGGGACACGAGGGTCTCACCCTGCCTGTTACCTCTGCTTGTCGTGAGGAACCTTTTCTGTTTTGTTTCTGATCTTGAAGCAATGAAATGAGAGAGAATATTGAAAAAAAAATTAGACATACAATCTGTGTTCATTCTGCATTTTACAGTAGAATTCTGATTCCAGCAGCTGTAGTCTATATTCTCTGCATGAGCCTGTGTGAGGGAGCCAAAGAAATGGGGTGCTGGGTGAGTGCTACTGAATCAGTTTCTCTTGATTCACTAGCTTAAAGATGAAACTTTTTTAAAATGAAACCTGTTTTGGTGGAGTTTTCCTAAAGGCTGCACTCTCTATAGAAGCAGGTCCCAGATCTGTCTCTCACAGTATGAATTGACACTGTGTGTGTAGGGGGTTTGGTGTAAGGTGTTACTGTTGTTGTTCATGTGAGCTGATTCAAAGCTGACCCTGCAGCTCCACAGAAGGTTTTCGAGGCAGTAAATCCCATGAGAGGAGATTGCCCATCTTTCTCCCTCGGGGCAGCTGGTGGATTCAAACTGGATGACTTTGGGTTGGCAGAGTGACTACTTACTGCTAAGCAACCAGAGTTCGCTTATAAGGTGCAAAGTGGTGGAACAACATTCTCTCTTGTTTGCCCTCTAAGACAAAGAAAACAGAACCAACTGAATAGAATGGATCTTCTTGAGCGTACTTCGCAAAGTGCTCTAAAACCCACTTGGTGTTTCTTTTAGCCCTATGCAGCTGGCCTACTTCCAGTGTCCCTAACATGCCGCATGCCTGCTTATCTTTGTGGCCTAGATCTTTCTTTCATATTTATATGCTGGAATGCTAGTCATCTTCCAAACTGTATTTCAGAAGATCTTTTCTCCATCAAGCCTTCTGTGACTCCTAGGCTGCCGTGAGCTTTGCTTCCTCCGGGCTGTCCTATAATTTGCTCGTACTTGTATTGTGATGTCACCTCCCAGGGCCTTGCATGAAGATAAGACTGTACATATCTTATCTCTTTCTCAGCTTTTAAATCCTTGTTTTCTTTAGCTTTACTTTCCCACGATATCTATAATGGTACCCTGCACAACCCATGGACCCCATACTGCTCTATGTTTATGAAATATTTTTAATTACAGTGTTTGCCAATGAGTAACTGGAAGAGAAAGAAAAGCCACAGAGGCTAGAAGGAGGTGAGAGGGAGACATTCACACAGACGACGCCTCGAGTCCTGGTGTGGAGATGGTTCTAGCCTGTGGCTGACACAGGGTGTAACCTCAGGGCCCTGTTCCCTGTGCCACTGCTGTACTCCCCCTCCTGGCCCTGAGAACAGGCCGAGGCTGCACAGAGCCCTTGCTGGGGCAACCTGACTAGAGCAGATCCGTCTTGCTGGTGATTCAGAGGAACTTGACTGACTTTCTTGTATTAAGTGCACTTTATGTATTTCTAATAAGGTGTCCTTCCAGAAATGTAATTTGTTATGTTCTGGCTTTTAAAAAGTGAAGGAAATATAAGTAAATTTTATAATTTATTAAAAAAAATTCACACTGACTATGAAGCAGATCCTTATTGAAGAGGGAAATGGAAGCCCAGAGAAAACCAGTGTGAATGGCTTATTTTGACTTTAAACAGCTGTTAAAGATGGAATGGCATGACCTAGGAACTTTGCTCTGTGTGGGGATTAAATTTACACATGAATACACTTATCCTTTGCTGGAGGAGCTGCTCTTAGGCTGGTATTACTGGTTGTCCATGTTAATAAGTTAGTACGTTATGATTTAACAAATGCTATAATTAGTTACACTTCATAAACTTATAGTTAATTGAAGCACTAGGTTCCTCATGAGGATGGGAAACTTGAATGGGAAAAGTAAACTGGCTTTCTGAGTGACTTTCAAAGGCATTTTCTAGTCACGTAATCACCAGTCATATCCCGACCACCACGTGGCGAGGATATCCAAACCCTAGAACCAGTTCTGTAACCTTTTTAACCTGTAGTTGTGTAGGTATCCCCGTCACAGACCTTTCCCTGCTGCCCTAGTTCCACCTATGATGCTGATGAAATCAGGCCTTGGGGATGCTTTCCTTTGTCCCTTGTCACGTATATTAATGCCACAGCTGCGCCCAGAACCAGGGACGTCCATCAGTCTCTGTCCTGGGCACACACTGCTGGCTTCCCTCAGCCAGATGCATGTCTCTGTTAAGTTTACAGCTTTAAAAAAGGGCCTCTGAAGGGGAATAAATCTTTTTTAGTTAAAAAAACCGTTTTCGAGAATCTCCTCCTGTGCAGTTAATTACTGCTGAAAACCCACTGGAGGCTCAGCTGTGGACCCATCCAACCAGACAGCACGCAACAAAAACAGCAGATTACATCAAGCAGAAGGGAGACTGAATGAGACTGAGACTTTCAGAGAATTTCAGATCATACTTAGGAGAGCGAGGAATCAGCTGCCCACTGTGGACTTATAATACAACTTTACAGTACAAGACTTGGGGTTTTAATTGAATAAAATGATCAGATTTGGCATTTGCACAGATGACACTGACATCACCTGCAGCGTAGATCAGATATGGTGGTAAGACTGTGTGTAGAATACCAGTAAGAAAAATAGATATTCTATAATCTAGATATTAGTCCAGCAATAAGGACTTAAAGACTTTAGCAATAGGAAGCACTGAGAGAGATTGGGCCTGTTAGACTCTATCAGTGGGAAGTTTCATGCGTAGGTGTAGGAGAACCAAATGTATCAGTTAGAATTAAATATGGTCTTGTATAACAAAATTTAAATATTGGCTTCTGTGGTCAAAGAAATTCCTAGTCGGCCATGCTGGGCTTACAGAGAATTAGCTGTTCTCTCTCTCTCTCTTATTAAGGCAGCTCTGGTGGCCTAGTGGTTTTGCAGTTGAGCTGCTGACCCCAAGATGTGTAGTTCAAATCTACCAGCGACTCCCTAGGAGGAAGATGGGCAGTGTCTTCTCCTGCCGTGTAGAGCCTCTGAAACCCTCCGTGAGTCAGCTGTGAGCCAGATCAGATATGATGACAGTGAGGTTTTTCAGTTTTCCCCTTACTTTTCTTGAATATGTTCTGTAGCATACTCTTTCCATTCGCCAACATAATTCATGGTCCAGGATATCTGGAGAAGCTCTTGCTGTTACAGCCACATTCCAGGAAATTCACAGGAAAGGTGACAGTGGCTTCACTCGGAATGAAATCATCTTCTTGTCCTGGAAGCGCTGCAGCCCGCAAGGCTCTTACTTTTCATTGGCCAGGGTCGAGTCACGTCACTACCCCAAGCTGAAACGGATGCTTCTGGTGGGCAGGCATACAGGCCTTGAGCTCAGAAGCAAGGTCTGAATCAGAGAGGATCATCACCGTTAGGGTATGGTAAATATTTAAAGCCTTAGGGACAGGTTAACTCTGTTAGGGTAAGTGTTTATACTGGAAGAAGGCAGAGCATAGAGCCAGGGCACATCAACATTAAAAGAAAAAAAAAATGTGTGTACTCTGCTTAGACACCATCTTCTTAGTTTCTCCAAGGAGAAACTTGGTTTCACTCTCTTGAAGACAGACCTAATTGCTTTCTTGGCAGTCCATGGTATGTTCAAGACTCTTCTCCAACATCCCAAGTCAAAGGCATCGATTCTTCTGTCATCCTTAGTCATTGTCTAGTCCTCTGATGCATAGCAAGTAACTGAGAAGACCATGGTTTGGATCTGGTGCATCTTAGTCTCTAGACTGACGTTGTTACTTCTCGGTACTCTGGCAAGATCCCTGACAGTAGATTTTCCCAGTGCAATTTGTCTTTTGATTTCTTGACTGCTGGTGTCAAGAATGTTGATTGTGGAGCCAAGCATAGTAATTTGCCTAGTCAGTTCCCAGTCATGTCAACCTTAAGTATCCAATAATGAAATGTTATCCTGTGACATGTTTATGGTGATTGATATAGTTGAATTAAGTATGGTTCTTAGCAGCTTTTCTTTTATGGATTTCATAAAAAATATTTTAGTGTAAGCCTGGCCTGAAATATCAGAAACCATTTTTTTCCGGCCTGCTCTCTAGGGCCGAGATATTTCTACCACACTGGATAATCAGAAATACAGTATTTCTTTGCTACCAGATAGTTTTTAAAGCATAGGATTAGTCATTGATTTTTGGTTTTCCTATAGAAAAGAACCAAATGTAAGGGGAACAAGAAAGATAAATACTTGTCTTTGAGATGGTTCCAGTTTTGGCTCCATTAATTCATTAAAGAGTGAGCATTTATGCATACGGACAGGGGCATTTTAGGTCAGTATTTTGACTAATCTGGAGATATGGTTTATGCTCCTAGGAGCTTTGGTGGCCTAGTGGCAAGAAGCTGTGCTGCAATCCTGAAAGCACGTGGTTCCAGACCACCACCCACTCTATGAGAGAAGGATGGGCAAATTCCTTCATGTAGTTAACTACCTCGGAGACCCTGCTGGGTGTCAGCTGTGGGTTGATTCTAACCCTGGTACACAGCAACAACTGAGTTACAGTAAAAAAAATTTTATCTTAATGGATACTAATATTGATACTGGCATTGAAATTGACTTTTTTCTTTCTTTCTTAAATAGGTATCAGTATTATTTGCAGCTGAAGAAAGATATCTTGGAAGGAAACATTCCTTGTTCATTAGAACAAGCTATTCAGCTAGCAGGCTTAGCAGTTCAAGGTAAATAAACGCAATCAATAATGTAATCATTCTATAAATTTAGAATGTGTTTAACTATAAAAGCAGTGAGAAATTCTTAAGTCTTTCCAGTATACATCTTTATTAGTTTTTATATATTAGTGAAGTGTCATTCTGTTATCTAAGTTGCAATGATGCTTTATAGGAAAATAATGAACCTGAATTGCTGCAATAAAATGTGAGACTTCTGGAAGTTTAACCTTATATATTATATGATAACAGAGCAAACTGTCTAATGAATAGAAATACATATATGTGTGTATTTACATAGATATATATGCGTGTATGAATGTGCATATATGTATGTATATATGTATATGTATGTATGTATATATGTATATGTATGTTTATATATATATATAGAGAGAGAGAGAGAGGGCGCGTGTGCTCTGGTGGCCTCATTGTAAGACGTTGCTCTGCCAACCCTAAGGTATGTGGTTCGAATCCACTAGCTGCTCCTAAGGAGAAATATGGGTAGGCTCCTCCCATGAGATTTAAAGCTTCTGCTAACTCCCTAGAGGGTCAGCCATGCATCTGTTCTGACTTGGCAGTACACACGTGCCTATGTATAACACATGAGTACACTTATATATGTATGAAAAGAAAGCCTCCAACTCAGCCGCCCTAACACAGGTTCCATCTCAGAGCAGCCCTCCATCCGTCAAGTGTCTGGGTCTGTAAATCTAACAGAAAGAGACTGCCAGTCTTCTCTCTGCTGGTGGATTGAACTGCTGGGGATCCAGGCCTCTGTGTTAGCAGCACAGCTCTCTGTGGGCTCCCCCAGCACAGCTCCAGATGGATCTGTTACGTACATACGAAGGCATTCTCTTACTGTGGAAAAGGTATTTGGTGTTCACTTGGGTAATGTTCGTGTGTGCAGTTCATTGACATTGTGTCCACCACCGTTCATGTTCCACATCACCTGTATCCTTTCCCAGGTTATGGCATCATCCTTAACAGAAGGTCACTGTGCCCTGAGCCTCCCTTTCTCCCCTCTCCTGGTGGCTCTCCGCTTGGTACACACTAATAAATGCTGCTAGATCTGCATTACATTCTTTCCTTATTTCATTCCTGTTGAAAATAGACACAACAGTCCAACAATTCCTGTACAATTATGTGTAGCCCTTTTCACCTCCCTTTTCCGAGTTCTTCCTCCCTGTTAACATCAGCATGCTGCCTAAGAGTCCTGTCAAGTCTTCCAAGTTGCACTTGTCAGTCTGATGTCATACAGATAAGTTCTCCCCAGAGCACGATACTCAACTAGTGTATGTCTGCTTATAAGAAGATTTTAGCAGATATTTTTTGGCTTGAGGGTTAAAGATTATCTCAGGGTAGTAGTTGAGGAATTCGTTTAGCCTCTATGGCTCCAAAAATAGTTTCTGTTCACGGTTTTTTTGCATTTTAAAAATGTGTTTTCAATTTTTAGGCCCTTAATAGTACATGTTTCTTTAGATCAAGTACTTTATATATATATAAATCTAGTCCAGGAAAAATTTCCCAGTCATTGATGAGGTGCTGCTTACTTATATACTAAATATCCTTCATTTTATTAGAAGATCTGGTGGTGGCCTAGTGGTAAGGAGTTGCAGTGCCAACCCAGAGGACTGAGGTTCAAATCCACCAGCTGCTCTGTGGGGGAAAGATGAGCAATCTCCTTCTGTGTGATTTACTACCTCTGAAAGCCCTGTGGAGGGTCAGCTGTGAGTCAGCTCCAGCTTGATGGTACATAACATAATGACTTCATTTTATTTCATTTCTTAAGCGGTTGTCCTACACTTCAGAGCATCAGCAATGGGAATAAAGTTTTTGCATTTCATGGTTTTTAATTCTTTGTCTTTTATTCCTCCCTCTCTCTCTTTTTTTTGGTATGTGTGTTTGTGTGTGTGTGTGTGTGTGTGTACCATCAAATCAGATCTGACTGGTACAGGAGGAGATTGTCCCTCCTTCTCTGGCAGAGCATCTGGTGGATTCAAACCATGCACCTCTGGCATTTTATTCCTCTCTTGTCTAATTTCCATATATTGTAGATTATATACTTGATGGAATCGTAATAATTATCTGGCATTCAAACTTGAGAATGAAAGTTTAACCAAAAGAACAATTTATACATTCCTCCAGATTTTAGCAGGCCTGGAGAGAAATGTCATTTCTAGACATATAAAAGCCCAGCAGCATGTGAAGCCAGCTGCTTTTCAGGTTACTTTGAAGCTTCCTATATAACATCTTTGTCTTTAAGAATTTGTTCTTAAAAAAATCCCCCTTTTGCTAAGTTGTCCTTTTAATAATTCATTTAGTGTTCAAACTGAGTATTTGTTGCAGCAGCATACTGTAGTTATCTGACTCAGTGTTGTACTGAGAGAGTCCCTGTGCTGAAGTCTGTATGTAGATTTATCAGTGCATGAGTGAGTGTATATGATCACAGGGTTCTTAGATCTTGTGTTGGTTCACAGTCGGGGACCCAGTGGGGCAAGGTCGAATCAGCCCATGCATTTCCTCAGCTGAATTTTTTTTAAATTTTATTTTATTTATTTTAATGAACATTTACAGAGATTTTGGATTTCCATTCCTTCATTGTTGCATTTTTCTCCCTGCCCAGTCCTCCTCCCCCAGTTCGCTCCTCTCTTTGAAAAGCAAAAGAAAAATTCCTTCTTTGCTATACAATCTCCCCACACCGCTCCCACTGCCCCTAGTACACTCCACTATGCAACTGTAATTCTGGACTCTTGTGATAACCATAATACCCTATCATATATCACTTTTAAATGATTCTCTCCCTCATCTGTTTCAATGCAGTATACATAATTTATCCAGTTTTTCTCAGTCTTACCCCAACCCTGATGTCAGTCCCATTCTACAACAGTGGCACCATGCAGTATTTGTCCTTTTGTGACTGAGATATTTCAGTCAGCATCATGTCCTCCAGGGTCACCCATTTTGAATATTATTGCATGAGTTTCTTGTTTTTCAGTGCTGCATAGTATTCCATTGTGTGAATATACCACAGCTTCTCTATCCATTTGTTTGTTGATGGGCAGCTGGATTCTTTACACGAGCAGATCACCAGGTCTCTCTCCCGTGGAGCCACTGGGTGGATTTAAACTGCCTGCCTTTCATGGAGCAGCCACGTTCCTCACCATTGTGTCACGAGGGCTTCTTGATTAAGTCCGGGTTTTGTTCTGATCATGAAAATCAGATTATATTGTTTATTCTTGTGATTTGATTTTTTTTTTTACACCAGTCATAGGTATATTTGTAGACACGTGGCTCTTTCTACTTAAGATTTTTTTTAAATTTTATTTTTATTTTTATTATTTTTGTGTGTGTGTACCGTCAAATCAGATCTGACAGGTACAGGAGGAGATTGTCCCTCCTTCCTTGGCAGAGCATCTGGTGGATTTGAACCGTTCGCCTCTGGGATTGCAGTGCAGCTTCTTGCCACTAGGCCACCAGAGCTCCCCTTCTACTTAAGATTTTTAAAGAAGATATTTAAAAACTTCCCATTTTAGAACTGTGTTAAGACTGATTTGACCTCTGAATCCTAAGCTCACAATGTCTGTATTGCGTACGGAGTTTTGGAAAAAGTGAAAACGAAGCGTTACTGGAGAAGCAGCTTGATTTGGGGTTGGACAGCACTCCGTGAGGATTCGCCACAGTAGTCCAGCCAGCATTTGATTTTGTATGCATTTCTGTGCAGATGGAATGTAGTTGACATGCAGGTGTTTGTCATTTTGTGCAGCTGATTTTGGGGATTTTGATCAGTACGAATCCCAGGACTTTCTGCAGAAATTTGCCTTGCTTCCTGTGGTAAGACTTTCTTTTTTTTATTTATTTATTTTATTATTTATCACAGATTTACTTTATTATTATCACAAATTGGATCTGACTGGTACAGGAGGAGATTTCCCATCTTCTCCAGCAGAGTGTCTGGAGGATTCAATCCATGCACCTCTGGGATTGCAGTGCAGCTTCTTCCACTAGGCCACCAGGGCTCCCTAAGACTTTCTTTTATATTTGGCCTTTTACAAAAGTTTATTCCCATATCCTTTATAGTCTTTAAAATGAAGTCTGTTTCATAGAGTTTTTAGCCCAAGTACCTCTTGCAAACAGCTCAGATGTGACTCCTTCCCCTGCTCTCGTCTTACTATTGGCCCTGTGATCACACAGACACTGGAGTGTCTGTACTGGCTGGGCTGTGGCCACAGACATTAGTTTCGTGTTTGAGTATAATGCTCAGTGAGATTAACTCCACTTCTGATGAAACATGGGGATGTTATCCTTTCTGCTGAAGTCTTGAAACCTCACAAAAGTTATGTTGAAATGAATTTCGTTTCCCATCAGTAATGACAAAGGTTTAGGTGTCAGTAAATACACTGCTTTCCACTTTTTAAGTCACGGTTGATAGAATTGATAAGAAAACTATGCACTGGACCAACTAAAGCAGGACTCTGTGATACGGATTTCCAGAAGAACAAACAAATCTCTCTTGGAGAAAGTAAAGTCAAAATGCTCCTTAGAAATGGGGATAGCCATTCCCTCTCCTAGGGAGGATGGTAGTTAATAGGAGAGCCCCACTCCTGGAGAAGGACATTATTTTTCATAAGGAAGAAGGCCAGCAAATAAGACCTTCAACAATAAACTTGTAACAATGGAATAAAAGAAAATAGTGATTGTGAAGATGGTGCAGCGTTTATTTTATTGTCACAGGATGGCTCTGAGTTGGAGCTGACCCCACAGCAGCTGATATAACAAACAATAGAATGAAGGCTCTGCCAGGTGGGTCCCTCCACCACGAGGAGTTGCTGAGATGATTCTGCTGTGCTGGGCACAGAGCTGGCTGACTGACGGCCAACCTGAAGTGCCTTCAGCGAAAACTTTTTCTGGGCTGAGATGAGAAGCCAGTGTTAAGATTTTTAGCTCCGGCACAGAAGCCACTTAATTCCTAAAAGACCTGGAATCTTGCAAAACTCCCCTATTAGTAAATGAACTTGTGTTTTTGCCAGATAGTGACAAGAATTAGAAATAACCAGTAGCTGTGGTTCTTCCTAAGAAATTTGATTCATTTGTTTACATACATACTGCTGTGTGTTTTGCTCAGGGGTGGTTACAAGATGAAAAAGTGTTGGAAGAAGCAACCCAAAAAGTGGCCTTACTACATCAAAAATACAGGTAAACACTCAGAAGTAACAAATGAATATATTGTTGAACTTAACACTTACTCCACTTTTTCTCAGTTTTTTAAAATTAATTTTAATGAAAATTTACAGAGACTTAGGGTTTCCAGTCATTCATTGTTGCACTTTTCTCCCCCCTCCCCAATTCACTCTTCTCCTTGAAAAGAAAAAGAAAAAACCCTTTCATTGTTGTGCAATCCCTCCCCCAAGTCTACTCCACTGTGCAGCCTTCACTCTGGACTCCTGTCATGACAATAATACCCAATCATACATCCCTTTTAAACAGTTCTCTCCCTCCTCTGTTGCAATGCAGTATACATCATTCCTCCCCTCCTTCTCTGTCTTCCCTCAACCCTGATGTCACTCCTGTTTACAATATTTGTCCTATGCAATATTTGTCCTTTTGTGTCTGAGATATTTCTCTCAGCATAATGTCCTCCAGGGTCATCGATTTTGCATAATATTTCATGAGTTCCTTGTTTTTCAGTGCAGCATAGTATTCCATTGTAGGAATATACCAGAACTTCTCTATCCATTCATTTGTTGATGGGCACTTGGGTTGTTTCCAGCTCTTTTCTATTGTGAACAAAGCCGCAGTAAGCACGGGTGTGCATATATCTGCTTGGGTGGCAGTTATGGTTTCTTTAGGGTAAATTCCCAGTACACTTACTCCACTTTGAAGTAATCATTGACACAGTTCATTCAAATGTTTTGTTGTTATTGCCACTGCTACTGTTACTACTACTACAAGTTGTTGGTTGCCATGGCATCAAGAATAACTCCTAGCGACCACATCCTCAGCCTCTGCCAGGCTGAAGGTCATTGCCAGGAATAGCACACATTTGACTAGGAGTGTTTTGAGTAACACTTTATGTGCCACCTGCAGATCTCAGCACTTATCTGCATTAACGCATACATTTGTCCAATTTGTATTGTGGTTTGGGTAAAAGTTTACGAAACAGATTGTTTTTCCATTCATTAGTCCCTGTTGTTGTTGTGTACTGTCATGTCAGAACCAATCCATAGCTGACCCTCCAGCAGGTTTTCAGACACAGTTAATTGCACAGGAGGAGATTGCCTATCCTTCTCCTGCAGAGCAGCTGGTAGACTTGAACCACGGGCTTCCAGGATAGCAGTGCAGCTTCTTGCCACTAGGCCACCAGAGCTCATTAGTTCATATGCATGACATTGACCCATGGCATTGAATGCAATCCCCACAGTGGAATGCCGTTCCTCCTACTTTGTCCCTGTGTTTGTTATTTCCATTCATCATTCTTTCCTATGCCATTTTGCCCTCTGAGTTTTCTCTCTGGACAAATGCTACCTTTTTATCTGTGTAGTTGACTGTTCTTAGGAGTGAGAACAGGTGCTGTAATCCTGACCATCTTGGGTTAAAAGTGGAGCCACAGAGTGATAGGTAGTTTTTTTAGACATGGTACCCCCCCCCCCGCCCCCGTCTTTCATTCTGTGTATGATCTCACTAACCTCTTTTGGGTTGCAGAGGCCTCGCAGCTCCTGATGCGGAAATGCTGTACATGCAGGAGGTGGAGAGAATGGATGGCTACGGGGAGGAGAGCTACCCGGCGAAGGTGAGCATGACACAGGATGGGTGGTCGGCAGTGCGTCCCAGCGGTTCTTGTGTGCAAGCCCTGATCCCTAAAGGCTAAAAATGAGCAGAGGTCTGACAGTGGAAAAACAGGTCCGGAGCTCTGTAGTAACGCTCATTTCTTTTTGACTCTGTGTCTTGAACCTACTGAGAATTTGCCTTTCCACCCTAGATACGCAAAATTAGAATCTAGTTTAAGCAGATCCCAAGGTGATTGTTATGTGTACTTGAATGTAACAATCACTTGGACCCTCCTGGGAGTCTATTAAGAATCACTGGTGATCTCAGAAGACTGTAGAATCTGATTCTGTCTGAGGTGGAAATGAAATGCAGGTTCCCTCTAAGAGGATCAAACAAGAATGAAGCGTGTTTGAGCTCTGCTGGAGAGAGAGTCTTAAGAGACTTGAGCTTTTCATATTATGTATTTACAAGATGGAGTATTTCTACTGTTCAGACATCTTTCCTTCAGACGGGTTACAGTGCAGACCTCCCAAACAGTCTGAATATGGGAAACACCTTCTTTGAGCCCAGACGGTTGTTATGGTTTGTGCTCCCGTGTTTATCTCCCTGCTCTCTCCTTTCAGGATAGCCAGGGAAGCGACGTGTGCATCAGCGCGTGTCTTGAAGGTATCGTTGTGAAACACAAGAATGGAAGGCCTCCTTCGATGTTTAGGTATACTTCACCATCTTTTCTCAGACATGCACTTTCTGTGGCTCCTGTCAGTGTGTAGTGTGTGCATGCTCTGTTGTTTTTCTGTGTGTACCGTCAAATCGGATCTGACAGATACAGGAGAATATTGCTCCTCCTTCTCCAGCAGAGCATCTGGTGGATTTGAACTGTGTAACTCTGGGATTGCAGTGCAACTTCTTGCTACTAGGCCACCAGAACTCTCTTGTTTTTAATTGTTTTTTTAAACTTTTTTTTTTTTTTTTTAATTTTATTATTTTTGTGTGCGTGTACCGTCAAATCAGATCTGACTGGTACAGGAGGAGATTGTCCCTCCTTCCCCGGCAGAGCATCTGGTGGATTTGAACCGTTCGCCTCTGGGATTGTAGTTGCAGCTCCTTGCCACTAGGCCACCAGAGCTCCCCTCTTGTTTTTAATTTTTGATGAGGGATTTTATACTAGAGAATTGATGCCTTTGAGCTGTGGAGCTGGAGAAGAGTGTTGAATATACCATGGACTGCTACGAGAACAAACAGGTTTGTCCTGGAGAGGGCGAATGGGCTGCTCCTTGGAGTCAAGGATTCTGAAGCTTCACCTGACATACTTTGGACTTGTTACAAGGAGGGACCGACCGGTCCTTGGAGAGGAACATCATGTTTGGGAGGGTGAAGGGACAATGTAGGAGAGGAAGACCCTTGATGAGATGATTGATTCGGTGATTGGGGTGGTGGGAGTTAGGTGTGTTGGAGACAGTGAGGTTGGCACAGAATAGAGCAGGATTTAGGGCTCTTGTACATAGGGTCGCTATGAGTCACAAGCAACTTGACAGCACATAACAACAAACAACACATTGCTCACTGGCTTCTTGCAAAGTTTCATTAACCAGCCCACTCATGACAGCGCTCCATCAGATGTCTACGGCTTTGCAGAAGGAAGCTTTGTCCTGTGGAGGCGCCGGTAGATTGAACTGCTTACCTCTCAGTTAGCAATCCCACCCATGACCCATCACGCCACCAGTGCTCCTTCAAGGCTCAGGACAACGTTCTAGGCTAAAATACCACCAGAAAGCCGCTATTCTTTTGATAATATGCTTTCTTCAAAACCAGTTGTGCAGAAAATCATGCTGACAATAATGACCTACTTATGAAATGCTTTAGAGGTGTGGCCCTTTTCTTGTCATAAGGAGCCCTGGTGGTGTGATGGTTTAAGCCCTGGACTGCTAACTAAGAGGTTGGCCCTTTGAGCCCACCAGCTGCTTTTGCGAAAATCAAATAAACCCTGTGGGGCACTTTTACTCTGTCCCCCAGAATCACGAGGAATCGGAATTGACTTGATGGCACTGGGCTTGGTTTTGGGTTTTCTTGCGATGTGGATTCCAATTCCCTCGTTCATTTCAGTGTGTTTGCATTTGCCCTCTGGCTTTCAAGGCTCCCTCTTGGGGAAAATCTGTCTTCTGGCTTCAGTCAAATACTGAAATTCCTAAAATACCAGCTTCTCAAGATATTAAACTTGTTAAAATGTTGAGGTTTTTGTGCCCCATTCTCCCTGTCAGAGTCCACAGGACAGTACTTGTTGGCTTCCATTTTAGCTCCTTTACCCTCTCCCTCCAGCTCTGTCCCTGTGACAGGAACTCTGCCTTGCTGATCGAGAATTTCTAGGGTCTCACGCAATCTGGCAGTTTTTAGTGGAAGCTCTGTCTGTTCACTATCTGTTGACTAAATGTTCAGGCAAATGGGGAGAAACAATTTTGCATCTGGTTCCTAGTGTAGTATTCACATGCTTACTTCTTGGAACCAGATATTGTGAGTTCAATTAGAGAATGAATGTTGGCTGGATGATATTTCTGAAATGCTTAACAGGTAGTAACTTTGAATAACTTACGCACCCTGTGTTCACTGTACGCAGAAGCCCTCACACTCCGCTTCCCTATTTGTGCCCTGTAGGTGGGCTGATATTGCTAACATGTCCCACACCAAGTCCTTCCTCACTCTGGAGCTGGCAAATAAGGAGGAGACCGTCCAGTTTCAAACTGTGAGTAAGCACAGCAGTCTGAATGGGGCTTGTTTATACACGTGTGTATCTGGTGATGGGATTAACATTAGTGTTTTTCTAGCACGTTGTTGTGCCAGTGAGTTGGAACCAACTCGTAGCTGACCCTCCTGGCCGAGGAGCAGCCGGTGAATTCGAATTGCATACCTTTAGCTTTGTAGCTCTACTTCTTACCACTAGGCCATCATAAAATCTTACTCAGCTTTATAATATCATGGATAGTGGCATGTGGAAAAATGTCAGTGCTCAATAAATATTGGTGAACCAATGAGTGAGTCTTTACATAAATACAGGAATCCCAGTGATGTCCTTGACTGCCAACCAGAAGGTCAGAAGTTCTAATCCAGCAGCCGTTCCATGGAGGAGACACTGTGATAGTCTGCTTCTGTAAGATTTTATAGCCTTGGAGAACCCTCTTGGGGCAGTTCGTCTCTGTTCTGGAGGGTTACTGTGAGCTGGAATCTACTCAGTGGCATTCATTTTGTTTGGGGCTGAATAACTACAGTTTAATTATTCTGTCTTCTAAATTAAATTTAAGGGCCTATGAGGGAAAAAGGAACTCTGATGGCCTAGTGGGAACGATTTGCACTGCCACCTCAAAGACAGGTGGTTTGAATCCACCGAGTGCTCCACAAGAGAAGGATGAGTAATGTGCAGCCGTAAAATCCTTTTGTGCATTATGGAGCCTCTGAAAACCTGCTGGAGGGTTAGCTATGAGCTGGTTCTGACTCGACTGCACATAATAATAACAGCAGCATTAGAGAAGAGAAGCTCTCTGATGGCTCAGAACACTACTTACTGGATTGCTAACCAGAAGGTCAGCAACTCAAATCTACTATTTGCTTTTGAGGGGAGGGGGAGAACGATAGGCAGTCCATTCCCATAAAGATTTACAGGTTTATACACCTGCTGAAGGGTTGCCAAGAGTCAGGATCACCTTGCCAGCAGTGGGTTTGGTTTGGGTTTGTTATTAGAGGAAAGTACAGACTGATCTCTTAATTTCCTTGAGAAAAGAATTGTTGTTATTATGTGCCATTGAGTTGACTCATTCTGTCGAAAAATTATTTTAATGACTAGGGAGGATAGAAGGAGAATTGATGCCTTTGATCTGTGGTGTTGGAGAAGAGTATTGAATATACCATGGACTGCTAAGAAAACAAACAGGTTTATCCTGGAGAGGGTTAAACCAAGCTGCTCCTTGGAGGCAAAAGATTCTGAAGCTTTGTCTGACCTACTTTGGACATGTTGCAAGGAGGGACCAGTCCTTGGAGAGGGATGTCATGCTTGGGAGGGTAGAGGGACAGCACAGGAGGGGAAGACCCTCTATGAGGTGGATTGATTCAGGGACTGGAGTAATGGGGGTAGATGCGTCGGAGACAGTGAGATTGGCAGAGGATAGAGCAGGGTTTAGGGCTGTTGTACGTAGGGTGGCTATGAGTCACGGCGACTCGACAACACACAACAACAACAATAGTATTATGTTATTACTGTCTAGACAAAGGCTGGATTCCATCACTGTGTCAACTTTCGGTATAAAATAGTCTTTAAATATATGTTTATCAAGAAGGAAAATGTAAAAATGATATTTTCATGGTTTAAAATACTTTAAGTCATTTTGATGACTTAATGTAAGGATTATACTCTTAGCACATTTATATTCTTTTGTCTTGGTCATCTAAATCATAATTATAGCATTTATAGGATAAGGCAAAGTATATAATCCTTGGAAAATGAAAGACTTATCCAATTATATCTTGTTCTCAGACAGACTTTGCATTAAAAAATAGTAAATTGTATATGTATTTTCATATTACTTTATGTATTTGTGTTTGCTAGGAAGACATGGAAACAGCAAAATATGTCTGGAGACTCGGTGTTGCCCGACATAAATTTTACAGACTGAACCAGTGTAGCCTGTAAGTACATCCTGCTCACAGACTATAGGGAAGGGGCGATGCCAATGTCTTTTTATTGCATTAGATTCATTGCAGTAGCTAGAAAGCAAATTTTATCAAAGCACATTATCTTATTCTTACAGTAGTTTTCATAACATTTTTGCCTTCTTTGCATGATACAATGGTATGGTATTCTTCATTTTTTGCTTTTTATCTTTGTTATCACTTCTAATAACTGCATATACTTCCATACATAAAATAATGTTTCTATGATCTTTTTCCCCCTACTAGTTTATTTACACAATTGAAATACAAATTTGAACAAATTCTTTCCATTTCCCTCACCCTCCCACCAATCAAATTGTACAACCTCCCCCTGCACATCCTCATTCCTCTGCTTCTAGCCTCTCCCACCCCTCTTGGATCCTTAGACTCATTCTACAATAATGGTTTTATACAATATTTATCCTTGTGGGGCTGAGTTAATTTACTCAACGTACTGCTCTCCAGTCCCTTCCAAGTTAGGAAATAATTTACAAAATCATTGCTCCTGTGTGCTGCATAGTAGTCCATTGTGTGAATGTACCATAATTTCTCAGTCCATTTGTTTGTGGTTCAACATTTGGGCTGTTACCATGTTCTTGCGATGGTGAATAATGCTGCTATGCACATTGGTATACAAATCTCTTTTTGTGCCTCAGTTCTCATATTCCCAGGGTATATTCCAAGTAGTGGAATAGCTGGGACATATGGAATTTCTATGTTCCATTTTTGAGCAAGTGGCAAACTGCCTTCCAGAAAGGTTGTACCATTTTACAGTCCCACCAAAAATGTGTAAGAGTTGCTTTCTCGCCACATTCTCTGCAACATTTATTACTTGATGCCCTGTTAAACTTTGCCACTGTTACTGGAGTGATATGGTACCTCATTGTGGTTTTGATTTGCATCTCTCTTATTGCCAGTGATATTGAGCATTTCTTCATGTATCATTCAGATATCTTCCTCTGTGAAAATTATTTCCATGTCTTTTGCCTATTTTGTAATTGGGTTATCAGTTTTTTCCTTGTGGAGGCCTGGGAGTATTCTGTAACCTTTTGTTATAAGACTCTTGTCTGAGATGGTATTACCAAATGTTTGTTCCCAGTCTGTAGGTTTTCTTTTTACCCTGTTGGAAAAAGTTTTCAGTGTGCACAGGCATTTAATCTTTAGAAGGCCCCATGCATCAATTTTATCCTCTTTAGGTTGTGCATTTCTGGTTCTTTTTGTCAGTCTCTTAATACCTTGGACTAGCACTTCTAAGCTTGATCCCAGTTTGTATCTTATGAATGTTATGATTTTGGGGCTTTACCCTCAGGTCTTTGATCCACCTTGAGTTGATTTTTGTGTATGGTGTGAGATGTGGATCCTGTTTCCGCTTTCTGCAGGTTGTTTCTATGATCTTAATGAATTTACTATTTGGAAAAAGTGGTTCTTTTTAATTTTTGTTTTTGAAGAAGCACTAACCTAGTCAATATTTTGAGCAATTATTTAGCTTCTCAAACCATTTCAAGAATATGTTCCTTCTTCCTCATATGCCTTTTTTTGAGGTAATGACTATGTGTTTTTAGTTTTCCCTTTAAACTTTTAATTGTGATTGTAATGAAAATTTACAGAGCAAATTTGTTTTCTCTTCACTAGCTCTTACACATTTTGTTTTGCAACATTGACTGTAGTCTCTACAACGTACCCACACTCATCCCCCTTTCTCCCTGTGTCTCTTGTTTTTACCCAGCCTTCTTTCCCTATCTTCTGAGCTTTCTCTCCTGACAGGTTCTGCCCTTCTGCTCTCAAATGGTTGATTGTTTTAAGGACAGCATTCTTCTCTGGTGTTAACCTGATAAGCAGTTTCCTGTGCAATTTATACGCTTCTAAAAACCCACTGCAAGATCAGCTATAAGCCATTTCTGACTAGACGGCAATGATTTTTTGAGTTTAAGTATTGTTTGTCTGAAAGTTGTGTCATGGTGGTGATTTGTGTTCCAGGCTTGAAGGGTGACTAAAGGCGTATGGGTCCCACTGTTCTAAGTCGGACTGGTGAGCCTGGTCTTCCCCCCTGCCCCAAATTTTGAGTTTTATTGCCTATTTTTCTCTCACTCTGCCAGAGACCTTCTGTGGTATCTTTCGGAACAGTCAGGTAGCTGGGCACCATGTAATTCATCTGGTCTCAGTGTAGTGAGGCCCCAGTATACATTCTAATTAGCCCACATTGCTTTTACCTGCTTTCTCATGCCCGTCGGCATGGCTGCTCTGGCATGTCAAATCTGAACCCCTTTGTCCTTCACTTTCTATTTCTCTCTAGCTGTAGGCTTCATCTTTTCTCCTATGTAGCAAGAGTCTTAAAAACACTGCATGGCTTTGCTTTCGCTCCTGCCTTTCACCCTGCTTCCCACACCACTGACACCACTTGCCACAGTCAACTGTGACTTTCACTCAGTTCAAGAGCTTTTTAACCCAACTCATGATAGTACCTACCTACTTGCTACTCCTTCCTGACCTCTGCTCTTCGTGGCTTCTGCAACTTGTCACCTTCTTCAGGCTGTCTTCATTCTAGACTGTTTATTCTCAGTGGCCTTTGATGATTAGTCACTAGAATTCTCTGGCATCTACACTCATTTGTGAAGTTTACCTTATCTCATGGCTTACGATAGCATCTAGACTGAAGGTATGTCACCCTAAGCTTCTGGCCTCATCTTCGCGAGCTCTCAGTTCTTCTTTTTGGCATCTCTACTTGTGGACCTAAAAGGCATCTAAAATTTTAGAACTCCTTTTTTTTTAATTAGTTAATGAAAATAATATTTTTTCTTTTATACTGGTTTAACTTACAAAGTTTATATACATTGTTTTTTCACACCAGATCTTTCCCATTTCCTTTACTCACCCCTCCCTCCACCTGTCAAATTGTGTGAGTTATGCTTAATTGTCCCTCCCCCTGCCCATCCTCACCCCTTGCTCCCATCCTCCCCCTAGATCCTTATACACATTCTACAATAATGGTCTTCTGCAGTATTTGTCCTTATGGGACTGACTTAGTTCACTTAGCATAATGCTCTCCAGTCCCTCCCAAGTTAGGAAGCAATTTACATAATCATTGCTCCTGCATGCCACGTAGTATTCCATCGTGTGAATGTACCATATTTACCCAATCCATTTGATTGTGATTGTCTGGGCTGTTTCTCTTAAGACAGCTCTTGACTTCTTTCTTCTACTCTTCTCCATGTTGACAAATGGCAACACTTTATAATCACCCAATTCCTCAGACATGAGAGGGTGAAGCCAGAATGCTCCTTGGAGTCAAGGATTCTGAAGCTTCGTCTGACATACTTCGGGCATGTTGCAAGGAGGAACTGGTCCTTGGAGAGGGACATCATGTTTGGGAGAGTGGAGGAACGGCGCAGGAGAGGAAGACCCTTGATGAGATGGATTGATTCTGTGACTGGAGTGGTAGGAATGAGTGTGTGGGAGACGGTGAGGTTAGCACAGGATAGAATGACATTTAGGACTCTTGTACATAGGGTCGCTATGAGTCGCAAGCGACTTGATGGCACATAACAACAACAACAAACCTAGATGCCACAGTTAATTCCTGTTTCTCTTTCACCCCACTTCTACTTGATCCGCACTTTCTGTCAGTTGTACCTTCAAAGTGTATCTGAACCGGACCATTTTTATCGCCACTTCTGTAGTCGACCACTGTGGTCTTTTACCTGGAATACGAGAGCAGCCCGTGTTTTACCTGTCCATGGTTCACTCCCGTAAGACACTAGGGGATCATCTTATTTTAAAACACATGTCAGCCCCTCTTATTCTTGTTGGAGCTCTCCTTTAACTTTGACCATACAAACAATAAACATATAATCCCGGGCATCATCTGGGCCTTGTCTAGTCCAGCCTTCTATCCATTAGTCTCTTGCTCTGTCTGTTCCACCTGCATGTTTGCCTGGTCCTTGAATGTGTTCCTGCCTCGGGAGGCTGGGTTTGTGCCTTCATCTGCCATTCCTGTTCTCTCCCTTCAGTAGCTGTCAAATCAGATGTGCTTCACCTCCCTGGTGTGTAGCCTTTCCCTCCCACCACCACCTATGTCCTCACATCCCCTTCACTTCTTTTTCTTCTGCATAGCACTTGGTGCCACCTGAGAGGGTATCTCTATTAGTTGACTTATTTATTCTCTGTATTCCCTGTTCACATGTAGGAAAGAGTCCTGGCAATGTGGGAGGACAGACTCCTTCCTTTTATTGTTGTAGGTTTGATTTTTTAAAAAAATCCCATATGCCAAATCTCTCTAGGATGAACCTGTTGGTTCTCCTAGCAGTCCATGGTATACTCAGTACTCCTCTCCAGTACCACTGCTCCAAGGCACCAATTCTCGTTATCCTAGTCATTAGAGAGGGTGAGACCAGGCTGCTCCTTGGGGGCAAGGATTCTGAAGCTCCGTCTGATATACTTTGGACATGTTGCAAGGTGAGAACAGTCCTTGGAGATGGGTGTCATGCTTGGGAGGGTGGAGGGACAGTGCAAGAGAGGAAAACCCTGGATGACATGAATTGATTCATTGACTGGGGTAATTAGGGTAGGTGTGTCAGAGATGGTAATTGCCTGTTGTACATAGGGTCGTCAGTAAGAGTCGCAGGTGACTCGATGGCACACAACAGTAACAACAAAGCCAAACCTATTATTCAGATGAAAGTTTCCAGAGCAAGTTCATTTTCCGTGTATCAGTTTGTACACATTTGTTTTGTCACATCAGTTGCAGTGTTTTTCTTTTTTTTACTTTTTTGGGTTTT